CACCCCCCGCTCAGGGGTGGGGGCCAGGGGGGAGGACTTTAGGTCCCCCCTGTTATTAGTATTTAGGGCCCCAACTCGCAGCTCAGGGGTGGGGGCCTGTGGGGAGGGCATTAGGTCCCCCCCTTATTCCAATTTAGGGCCCCCACCCACCGCTCAGGGGCGGGGGCCAGGGGGAGGTCCCCCCCTTATTAGTATTTAGGGCCACTACCCACCGCTCAGGGGTGGGGGCCCATGGGGAGGACATTAGGTCCCCCCCATTATTTTACATTAGGGCCCCCACCCGCCGCTCACGGGTGGGGACCGGGGGGGGGCAATAGGTCCCCCCTTTAGTTTAAAAGCCCCCACTTGTGCATCGTGGGTGGGGGCTCGGGATGGGGACCCTATGTTTTGTTTTTTAACTAGACATGCCCCTACTCGCGGTATAGCGAGTAGGGGCAAAATTAAAAAATGCCTGTGCCAAATATTTTACTTAGTATTAGTAAATTTGGCTGAAAGACCAATTTAGGTCTTTCAACCTTTTGGTAGATAACTCCCTAATACCGTGGAAATTAGTGCTCCCTGAGATCACTAGTGGAAAGCAGGGCCAGACTGGGGAAAATATTTGGCACAGGCATTTTTTTATCACAGCGGCCCAGTGGCAAGGGGGAGGGGCCAGAGAGAGAGTTCTGTTATCACTAATGACAAGCAAACCCCCCTCACAGTGAGCGTGGGTACAATGATCTTCCAGGGCCCTCATGCACAGAGCACTGCTAAACAACTCTCGCATGAGAAAAAGGACCCGCACAGCGCCAGGAAAATTATTGACACGTTTCTGCTGCGTTTCCTTGTCACTTGTCTCTGGTGACTCCTTAAGTGGGTTACAGAGGACAAAAGGGCAAGGAAAGAGTATTATACATGTGTTTGGAGTGTGGTTGTGGGATTGTGTGTGTAGAGTAAGCTGATTGTGGTGTGGTGTTTTTGTGTTTTAGTTTCAGTTCTGTTTTGTTTGTGGTATATGTCTGGCTAGAGGCTCTAGAGAGTGTGCGTGTTTAGGTGCTTTAGTGTGTGTGTGTGTATAGGGGGCATAATGATGGTGTGCACAGGCACTGTAGTGTATGTTTGTATAGGTGACCTAGTATGTTTAGGGGTTGTAGAAAGTGTATGTTAAGGGAATGTGTGTTTTGCGGGCAGCAGATATAGTGTGTGCATACGGCATGTAGTGGGTATGTCAGAAATGTAGCATGTGTGTAGATGGTGCAGTGTAGTGTGTGTAGGGGATCCAGAGTGTGTATAGGGGATGTAGTGTGTGTGTATGGTGCAGTGTGTACAAAAGGATGTACTGTGCGTAGTGTGTATGAGGGGTAAGCTGTTCAGTGGTACAGTGTGTGTGTGTGAGGGGTATAGTGTGTGTTTATGGGTGAGGTGTGAGAAGGGTGCAGTGTGTTTGTGTGAAGGGTACTATGTGTGTAGGATGTGTGAGGGGTGCCTTGTGTTTGTTGGGTGCAGTGTGTGTGTGTAAGGGTCCTGTGTGTGTGGTTTGCAATGTGCGTGTAATGGTGATGTATGTGTTTAAAGGGTGCTGTGTGTGTGTGTGTAAGGATGCTGTGTGTGTGAAGGGTGCATAGGGTCTATGTTGTCCCCCCTCCCTCTTCTTACCTTTGGCCATGGAGGGTGGATGGCATTGCCTGGTGGTCCAGTGTGTGCACTTCAGCCTGCAGCTCCTCTGGCTGCAGACTGATTTCATCCTTCTCCTCCTGTGAGCTTAGCACTATTGGAGCATTGCCATGGTAACGCACAGCAACGCTCAGGACAGCCTGCTCGCGGGAGGAACCCACAGCCTCCTGGGTTCTTTGCTACCTCTCCTGGGACTAAGTGCCAGCAGGTCAGTGAGGGAGATCTTTCATCTCTCCACCGGCCCAAGAGGGCCAGAGCAAGGCTACATCTGCATAAGCCGACGGGGGAGATCAAAGGAGTGTTTGCCCTATGGCCAGTCCAGGCCTGGTGGAATGGATGAACATCAGAAGCAAAGGTAAAAAAAAGTGGTATGGGGCTTAAAGGGTTTTAGGGCTTTGCTGAAGAGGTATTTTCTTTTGACTGCTCTGTTCATTCTTCTCTGCTGGCCTACCCTGATCACCTTGCATCTCTTCCACACCACATTTCTTTCTTCCATCTTAAACTAATTTTTTTTTTTAAACCATAATTTCTTTCCTGAAATTTCCTAAACCACCAATTATAATTCCTACCAGACCTTAAAGGAACACTATAGGGTCAGGAATACAAACATGTATTTCTGACCTATAGTGTTAAAACCATATTTCACTTGCTTGCCCCTCTTAAAAGGTAAGAAAACTTACCTTACTTCCAGCGCTGAGCGGGTTTGCCGGTGCTGGTCCCTATCTGTCTCCTTGCTGACATCATCATAACTTAGGATCTCTTAGGATAAGGAAAGCATTGGATTGGCTGAAATTGACAAGGAGGCAGGACACGGTGAAGCCAAACACCTGCTCGGCCAATCAGCACCTCCTTATAGAGATACATTGAATCAATGCATCTCTATGAGAAATATTCAGCGTCTCCATGCAGAGCATGGAAATGCAAAATGGCAGTGCTGCACACTGTACAGCGCTGCCCCAGGAAGAACCTCCAGTGGCCATCTGAGGAGTGGCCACCTGACGTGTCCCTATGCTGTAATGTAAACACTGCATTTTTTCTGAAAAGAGAGTGTTTACATGAAAATGTCTGCAGGGACTGCCTATACTCACCAGAATTAAGCTCCATCTAACAATTTCATCCTTCTCTCTTGTATTTCTTCATCTTCCTCCAGATTCTTTGACGCTATACCTCTCTTTTCTTCCTTTACCATTGCCCCTTATTTCAGTGCCCCATTTCCCAAATGCCAGTGCCAATGTATCAATGTAAATAAAATCTCTTGTGTCTCTCTCCCCCCTTACCCTGTCTCTTTTCCCATTCCTCTTCTTTTCTATGTCTTTTAGAAATTCTCCAACCATCTCCATCTTATTATGTCCCGCCAAACCATGATATGGTGTTTTCAGTGCAAAAGACACCTTGCTCCCTCCAGCAAGGACTCTTCATACATTTTCTAAGGTAGTACACTGAGTGAAAGAGAGTATAATGTATAATTCACCACTTTGTATCACCCTTAGCAAAGCAATGAAACTACACCACAAAAAGGTTGAAAGAGCTTAGCTTCTGCTTAGTAGGAATCAAGTGTTGGCAAATAATGTCTGGCACCTGGGTGAAAACATTTGCACAGCACCACCCAGAATGCACCAGTGAGGGTGGGTAAATGTATAGTCCCAAACAATTCCAGAAAAAAAATTTCTGCCTTGCCAAACATAAAATCTGTCTATTGACACACAAATTTTTAGCACAGCGTTTACAAATATAAACATTAAAAATACCAGTGACAAGGTCTGGGTACCAAAACCACATCAGTAAGATGAAGTGGTTTTGATGCTTAAGGTGCCCATTTAAGTGACAACGATAAAACATAATGAAAACTAGAAAACAGGCAGTTGCTCTAAATGTTTAACAGTACTTGTGAAAAGGGTACTTTTCGATACTTTTCACTTAAAAAATAAAAATCAAGATTTCCCCAGCATAAAACATTAAGTTGTGAAAGTTACTTTGGGTGAAATAGATTATAAACTAGGTACTTCTAGTTTATAGACTGACTTTAAAATTATAGTTTCCAAAAATTATTTGCATAAGCACTGGAAAGACAAGCTATATTTATGATTAGTTCCATTTATATATACACCTCCATCTTCCTCGCAGTTAAAAGGCTGGTAAATCAAACTCAAGTTCTATGCGTCAAGTTTATGAACCATGCAAATTTACCTGTGCTTTCCTGGTAAGTTAACATTGGTGTCTCAAAGTAGTTTGAGAAGAAATACTGAGAGGATGAGATTAAATGACTAAATCATATTTTTGCTGAAAACTGTAGCACACTGGAGATCTATTGTATTATTTGCTAGAGCAAGGAACAATATATTGTAAAATGGAAAAAACACAGTAATGCAAATTACATTGCTGGATTGCTCTCACAGTAAGCTTTGTAACTATAGCTAGAGTACTATAACACTAGCCTAGCTAAGATATAGAAATATATATGCAATGACAATATACATTTCAAATATAAGTATGAAATAGTTAACTATATGTTCATGAAATCATTTTTAAAGTGACAGTTTGTGCTTTGTTCCGTGTGTATTTATTTAGTTTAATTTTAACATTAACAGGTCTGTACTGTTACAGTTGCTGTTATCTGTTAAGTTATTTTTAATTATCGGGACAGGCAGGGCCGCCATCAGGGGGTGACAACCATGACGGTTGTCACGGGCCCGGCGGCCCTGGGGGGCCCGGACTGCTCTGGCAGTCCTGGGCCCCACTTTCCCTTTCTGCACACATAGATAGCGAATATCGCGATCTATGTGTGCAGCCGCGGGCCCCCGGCTCCCTGTTACCGCAGAGGGGGCCCAGCACACTGCTTGTTCTCCTCTCTTCTCTCTTCTAATAACTCTCGCGAGATCCGCGGAGCGATGCCATGGTAACCGGGTCTCGCAAGAGTTATTAGAAGAGAGAAGAGAGGAGAAACTGTGTGCTGCCTGGGCCCCCTCTGCGGTAACAGGGAGCCGGGGGGCCCCCCCCACCGGTCCGGACCACCAGGAATGGAATCTCCCCCCTCCCTGGACTCAGGTAGAGGGGAGAAACATTTAATTTAATTTACACATTGCACATTTACACACACACTGCATACACTAACACAACACACACACACACACTGCATACACTAACACAACACACACACACACACACACACACACACTGCATACACTAACACAACACACACTCTGCATACACTAATACACTAATACAATACACACACTGCGTACACTAATACAACATACACTCTGCATACATTACACACTAACACACTCACTGCATCCACTATACTGACACACACTCTGCATTCATTACACATTAACACTCTGCATTCACTACACTAACACACACTCTGCCTCCGCTACACACTAACACACTCTCTGCATTCACTACACATTAACACACACTCTGCATTCACTACAAATTTACACACACTCTGCATTCACTGCACTAACACACACACACTACATTCATTACATTGACACACTCTGCATTCACTACACACTAACACACACTCTGCATTCATTACACACTAACACACACTCTGCATTCACTAAACTATGCACACACTCTGGATTCACTATACTGACACACACTCTGCATTCACTACACTAACATACACTCTGCATTAACTGTACACACAGCATCCACTACACAAACATCCTGTATTAACAGTACACACACTACATCCACCACAAATTGAAACACTCTGCATTCACTATACACAGACACTGCGTCTTATACACACACTACATCCACTAAACACATTTCATCTAGTACATACAAACACTACATCCACTACACAAACACACACTACATGACTGTACACACACTACATCCACTACTCAAATACACTCTGCGTTCACTATACACACTGCATCCGCTACACAAACACACACTCTGCATTCACTGCACAAACAGTATCTAATACACACAAACACTACATCCATTACACACATTCTAATTCACTTCCACTATACACACCACATTCAGTCCTGCATCATTGTAAACGGACTAGGTAGGGCGTGGGCGGGCCCGGGAGGGAGGGAGTGGGGGAAGGGGGCCCAGACCTTGTGCTTTTTCAGGGGCCCCAAAATTTCTGATGGCGGCCCTGCTGGGAGACATGGGGACACTGAGACATTTGGGGACACTGGGAGAAATGGGGACACTGACACTAGGGACACAGAGACATGGGGACACAGACACTGGGAGACATGGGGACACTGAGACACTAGGGGCACAAACACTGGGATACTAGAGGACACTGGGAGACATGGGGATGCCGGGAGGCATGGGGACACTGGGAGACACTGAGAGACATGGGGACACTAGGGACACTGAGAGACATGGGGACACTGAGACACTAGGGACACTGGCTGGGAGACATAGGGACACTGAGAGACATGGGGACACTGAGACACTAGGGACACTGGCTGAGAGAATTGGAAGGCCAGCCTGGCATAAGTGTCCCTATGTGTCACAGTGTCAGTGTCCCCATGTCGCCCAGTGTCTGTGTCCTCATTTCTCCCCATGTCTCAGTGTTTCTCTTGTCACTAGGATACTAGGGGACACTGAGAGACATGGGGGCACAGCCATTTGGGGACACTGGGAGCCATGGGGATACAGACACTGGGAAACTAGGGAACACTGGGAGCCATGGGGACACTGAGACACTAGGGACACTGGCTGGGAGATATGGGGACACTGGGAGACATGGAGACACTGTGTCCCTAGTGTCTCCGTGCCCCAATGTATCTCCCAATGTCTTACAGCATCCCAATGTGTCTCAGCATCCCCATGTCTCTCGGTGTCCCCATGTCTATGTGTCCCCATGTGTCTCAGTGTCCCCATGTGTCTCAGTGTCCTCGGTGAATAGGCCCATTTAAAAAGAAAAAATTTACTTTTTTTTTTACACACTGCTCTTAGGTTTGCTACCTGACTTTTTGTATTTTACCAGCACAGATGGTATTTGAGGCTGCCTGGCAATGCCAGTATTGCATTAATACCGACAATACAAATGCAGATATTTGTCTCAGTATAAACGGAGATTACTCTGCAATACCAGCACCAGCCAGTAGGGGTCACTGTGTGTGGAGAGAGGCAGAGATAGGAAGTTACAGCATATCCTTCCCTGCCTCTCTCTACTCACTGCAGGGGAGCCGCTACACAGCACAGAGAGTTCAGACAGAAGCTCCCAGCCTGCAGAGACAGACTACAGCTCAGGGAAGTGAAGGATAGGGGGGAAAGAAAGCAGGGAAACATGGGGACACTGAGACACTAGGGGACCCATGAGAACCACTGAGACACATGGGGACACTGAAACACATGGAGACACATAGACATGGGGACACCGAGAGACATGGGGATGCTGAGACACATTGGGACACTGTGAGACATAGGGACATTGGGAGACACATTGGGGGACAGAGACACTAGGGACACAGTGTCTCCATGTCTCCCAGTGTCCCCATGTCTCCAAGCCAGTATCCCTAGTGTCGCAGTGTCCCCATGGCTCCTAGTGCCCCTAGTTTCCCAGTGTCTATGTCCCCATGGCTCCCAGTGTCCCCAAATGTCTGTGTCCCCATGTCTCTCAGTGTCCCCTAGTATCCTAGTGACACAAGAAACACTAAGACATGGGGACACAGGGAGAAATGAGGACACAGACACTGGGCGACATGGGGACACTGACACTGTGACACATAGGGACACTTATGCCAGGCTGGCCTTCCAATTCTCTCAGCCAGTGTCCCTAGTGTCTCAGTGCCCCAATGTCTCTCAATGTCCATATGTCTCCCAGCCAGTGTCCCTAGTGTCTCAGTGTCCCCATGTCTCTCAGTGTCCCTAGTGTCCCCATGTCTCTCAGTGTCTCCCAGTGTCCCCATGCCTCCCGGCATCCCCATGTCTCCCAGTGTCCTCTAGTATCCCAGTGTTTGTGCCTCTAGTGTCTCAGTGTCCCCATGTCTCCCAGTGTCTGTGTCCCCATGTCTCTGTGTCCCTAGTGTCTGTGTCCCCATTTCTACCTGTGCCCCCAAATGTGTCAGTGTCCCCATGTCTCCCAGTGTCCCAATGTCTGTATCCACAAGTGCCCCCATGTGTCTCAGGGTTCCCTGGGTCTCTCAGTGTCCCCATGTCTCACTGTGTACCCATTTCTCTCTGTGTCCCCTAGTATCCTAGTGAACAGGAAACACTGAGACACTGTGATTCATAGGGACACTGATGCCAGACTGGCCTTCCAATTCTTTGGACAGACAAATCCCCCCTTTTTGGACATGTTCGCCCCTTTTGGCAGTTCTGGTCACATGATTTGTGTCAGTGGCCCACCCTTTTACCCCGCCCATTGACTTCCTGCTTCACTGGACACTGCTGTTAGGGGTTATGGATTTACTTGAAAGATGAAAGCATAAATTAGAGAGAGATTAGCATAGAGTATGTGTTTTCTCATAGCTGCATCCTTTGAGTTTCCTTCTAACACCATTTCCATCAGATACATGACGCTTGGGAGGTATGACTGTTTTAGTGTTTTTGGTCGATAATATTCTGTAATTAGGCCCATCATAATTGTCAGCACCAGGCCCACTGGGCTCTTAATCTAGCCCTGCCCATCAGTGTTAAACTGTCTCACTTTTGCAAGTGTACAGCAAGTGTACCAATTTCGCTACATCTCATGGTGGATGAAGTGCCAAGAACTGACAAAAGAAGATAAAGGTACCTGCGGAAGACAGCATCAGGTAAGTATATCTCTCATCCACAGCACCGCAGGCCACCGCACATTAAAAAGTGACAGAACCGCTTTAAATCAGGTGTACATAATTTGTATGTTTAGGATTACTTTTTGCCACATCGCCCGGGGTCCACATTCTTTTGAAATTCAGATCATGGACACCTTTACCTGTTGGATTTGCTGCTATCAATTGTTGTAAGACTGGTGGTAACTAACATTTGTGTTTTACAGAGAACAGCTCATCAGACACATACCTAATTGTCAACTGCCTCAAATATCCCCCTTGATGGTGGTTATTAGCCATTATATAGATGTTCCGTAAGAACAACTTACACTTGTCAATCATTTGTCAGCATATATGTCTACTTGCTGACAACTGAATGACAGAGGAGGGGAACACACCTGCATATTTTTCTCCTACACAGCAACCACAGCACAAAATGGGCAGTATTCTAGATTTAAGTGTGCTTAATCCTATATTTATCTATATGTAACCCCATCTCTGATAATGTGTTACATTTTGTAAAGTGCTCTGGATTAAAATGTATAAAAACTGTTCAATAAAAAAAAAATAACAAAGTTACTTCCTACTTTTCAACAAGTTAGAATCAAGGGCTCTTCAGAGTAAACTCTAATGGAAATAAGAAAATTTTCTGGTGAACTGACACTAAAACACAGTAAAGACGCAATAGTGCTTTTTTTTTATTTTTTTTTTAGAACAGTTAAACATCATAAAATTGATTTTTTTTTTTACTCCTTCAACTGTAATAGATGTTACAAAACGACATATCTGAATGTTTTATCCCCACAGATGTCTAAATAGCAGTTTGGACAAGAAATGTAAGAAATATCCATTTTTTTGTAGCAGAAAAAGCTACCATTTATTACCACACATTCAATGGTTCTAATTCTGTTCTATTGGTCGTATTGCAAAATATCTACAGCAGTTTTTGAAATTTCTATGCCATGGATATATTTCTGTTATACAGTGGGACATTAATTATGATATTAAACTACACATTTGACTATACTTATAGTAGATGAAAAGGTTCAACTTCGTAAATATAAACTTATTAAGGGGGAAGTAATAGCACATCTTCTGGGGTCCTTGCATATTTAGCAAAAAACTCTGATGTTGACATCGTTGCTTGGGCTGCAGTGGCAGGAGTGCAACAGAGGTGAGTTATACTTAAATGATACTGTCTACAACGGACTCCATTTTCTTTGATCTTTAGCTCCTGTTGCTTCATCTATTAGGTGGCAACTTCAGTGCTGTACTCTTGTCAGGGCAGTCTTTAAAGGACCACTATAGTGCCAGGAAAACATACTCGTTTTCCTGGCACTATAGTGCCCTGTGGGTGCCCCCACCCTAAAGGTCCCCCTCCCGCCGGGCTCTGGGGAGAGGAAGGGGTTAAAATCTTACCTTTCTCCAGTGCTGGGCGCGCGCATTCATCCAGTTCATAGGAAATCATTTACAATGCTTTCCTATGGACGCTGGCGTCTTCTCACTGTGATTTTCACAGTGAGAAGCACGCAAGCGCCTCTAGCGGCTGTCAGTGAGACAGTACTGGATTAACCCTATTATAAACATAGCAATTTCTCTGAAACTGCTATGTTTAAAAAAAAAAAAAAAAGGGTGAAACCTAGCTGGACCAGGCACCCAGACCACTTCATTAAGCTGAAGTGGTCTGGGTGCCTATAGTGGTCCTTTAATATTGATTGGACCGTGGGCAATCATTTGCTTGGCACCCCCACCCCCCAAAAGAAACAACACATTCAGATACACAGAATGACATTCATACAAATACAAAACATTGACAAACACAGATACACA